GCCCCAGCCGTGGCTCCCTGTCTGTGGTCCCTCCCTGCGTGGTCCCCCCTCGCCCTCCATCCCGTGCCCTGCCCGGCTGACCACGGCTGTGCCGCAGAGCCTGCTGGACATGATGGTGGCGGAGGAGGAGAACCTGAAGGAGCGCCTGCTGAAGAGCATTGCCATGTGCCGGAAGGAGCTCGACACCCTCTGCAGGGAGCTCCAGCTGGAGCCCTTCGAGGTAAGGCAGGGCCTTCGCTCCTGGGGTGCTCCTGGTGACGGTCTTCTGCTGCCGGGCCTCTGCCCGCCTGTCTCGGGAGCCCAGAGCTCGCCGGGCCCCCGGCCGTTGCCGACGCGCGGTGGCGCCGGAGGCATTGCGGCTCCTCGCAGGCCGGGCGCGGGGCGGTGGCTGTGAGGAGGCTGGGTGTCTCGCAGCATCTCGTTTTGTGCGTTGCTTCTTCATTTGCACCTTCCTGGGGGACGTCTCCCTCGGAGCTGGGGCGCATGTCTCAGGTCTGCGTTTAAGAAGCCTCAGTACGCGAGTCAGGTGTGTGAGAGTTGTGGAGAAGAGAGCCGATTTCTGAACTCCTCTAGGTAGAGGAAAAGAGCACCATTCTGCAGATGGAGAAGAACTTGCGCACCCGCGTGGAAGTGATGCTAAAGCAGAAAAGGGACAGGAAGCAGGAGCTGAAAACCCTGCAAGAACAAGATCGAGACCTGTGTGACATCCTCTGCGCGACCCCATTCTGCATTGACAGCAACGCCGTGCCCAGCCTGGAGGACCTGGACCGCTACAGGCGCCACTTGGCCTCCCTGGCCGCCGAGAAGGTGAGCGGAGAGGGGCGAGGGTCTCGCCGGGGGGCACGCGGGCTGCTCACTGGTCTCCAACACCTCTCGTTGCCTCCAGGAGCAAAGGCTGGAAGAGTTTGTCAGCAGCAAGCGGCAAATCATCCTCCTGATGGAGGAGCTGGACCACACTCCAGACACGAGCTTTGAGCGGGACGTGGTGTGCGAGGACGAGGAAGCCTTCTGCCTGTCCTCGGACAACATCGCCGCCCTCCAGAATCTGCTGCAGCAGGTAGGTCGGCACT